ATTATCACAATATATATATATAGCTATAAGCAGGTTTGGCGGACATCCGGTAAACAGTCTTCTATTTGCCACGACATACAATTGAGCACAGCCATGCCGTTATCCTTTCTGAATGGTTCAGTACGATGCGTGTGCCGCTCGTACAGTTTTAGCTTGGCGTATTTTGCAGCACGGAAACAGTACGATTCCCGCAAAAGTGTACTGCAGTGAGTACAATCAGTATTTCTACAAGAACACCATCAAATGTTTAGTTAGGGGTATGAGGAATGTACGATTTTGTATTGTTGTATATCCGTTTAGGGCAAAAGTAAGCAGTACTTCACGTATGTAGGGACTCCCCTTTAATGTTACCGAAGACGGCCCGATCTATGGGGGGGGGGGGGTTATATGGTTACTTGTGCAGACTTTCTGAATATCATCTATATCGCGCACAAAACATACGATTTACACATACCATAGCAACCTGGGTGCGCTGGGAAACCTGCAGGTGTGTATTGCAACCCTCATGACAAACTGGTATACAATTGCGATACCTCACCTTCAGAAACCTGCAGGTATGTATTGCAACTCTCATGACAAACTGGTATACAATTGCGATACCTCACCTTGCCTGCACCTTCTCTGCTGTGGTACAACATGCATGGTGACATACAATGGCGGCTTAGACGTGCCGGTTAAAATGAACAGACCTCAACTTATCGCCGAATCGAGCTCAACTTATAGACTATATAACCCCTTGTCCGTAGCGCCTATCTGCGTAGTAGCTATAGAACATCACAATTCGAGTCTGAATTATGGGTGCACAAATGGTGCGACTAAATCCCGATTGATCAGTGTTTGGGTCCCCGGCAAGTCCGTTCTTCGGCTTTACTTTTGTCGAACCAGGTGAGCCTCGAGAGTGGGTAAGCAAACCTTAAACCTAAGGTGAATATGGATAGCAGTCCTGCGAGTACAGCACTTGCGGATTCAAAGCTTAGGTTGACGTCTTCTGATCTCGTACGTTTGGGCTGACAGCCATAAGTTAGGGACGCTACAAGTCTCGCATTTAGATTTGCTAGTGTCATACTCTCGGTTGTTTGTACTGGGGAGTATAGTGTCTTTGTCTTCTGTTGGCAGGTCAAAGACGGTGGGTACTCCCATCCTCGGCTTACTACAGTGTAACACCCCTAGTTGCGACATTGAGCTTCTCATGATTACCAGTCAGTAGAGTGTGATTTCCCTTGTGGTACATCGAGGGTGAGTGCGTCACGAGATGAGCCGCACATCCATTAGAGCGGCCATCGTGGTTATAATCTGTGACGGGATGAAAACATTACACAAATACATATAAGTCTTAACATTGGTGTGGGCTGTATGAGAACATCATACAAATACATTTTTATCTTAACATTGGCGTGGGCTGTATGAGCAGGCCTCGGAGATCTTCAAAGTGGATGTGTTGCGCTACACCAATTTATATTGTGCTCGAAAATCTCGAGACATCCAAATTTGCATGCATTGTTTCAAGTGCGCTGTGTAAATTTTGCAATACAAAAATGCGTAGAAAGGGATGGAAAAAAATTGGCGAAAACCCGTTATTCAGTGCTAAATCAAAACGAAGTATTTAATTTAGGTACAAACGTTCCAATTGAATCGATTGCGCTGGATGTTGGCAGATAGTGTTGAGAAGTAACGATAGCTCAAAGACATCCGCATATGTATTTGAGCAGATAAGATGTGTTGAACTGTACACATAAACACAGACACCCACAACCGCACGCATACGATATCTAATCTACAAGTCATATTGGCCCTCCAGCCAGCCACACCTCAACCTACACGCTTGCCACAGGGCTATTAACACATACGCCAGTATAATGGCATACAGCAACAGAGCATCACACATACATACACAGCAACAGATTGCAACCTCCACTCAGAACCTCTGCGCTTATCACATATACGAATCCTTAGTGCATTCCACATCGATCAACAAACGCACAACCATACATACATACATATATACATGTATACATACATACATATATGCATGTATACATACATACATGTATGCATGTATACATACACCGCCACAACACTACATAAAGAGGCATATCACCACAAATACAATCTCCGCGCATATCAGGCTACGTGTGACATACCTCATCTTCCATGCCTTCCACAACACCATCAACAGCAAACTCGTCACCCATGTCAAATCGATCTCTTGGTTCATCGGAGTGGTAGTACCAATTGTCGGGGTCGGCATACGGGTTAATGTGCTTGTTCTTGTTGCCATGGTTACGCAACTTCAGCACTGCTGTATCGCTGGCAACATCGTATTCGGATACTGTTCCCTCCTGAGGGTAGATGAAATAAAGAGGTGTGAGACCAAGTTAGATTGTTCGATCCCTCTACCCTTTACAAACTTGAACTGTAGTAGAGTATGTGACCTATGTACAGGCTGCACTACGGGCGTACATGACTTTTTGTGCACATAACATTGCGTATTGCGACACGGAAATGCGGCACCTAGTGTCTTCCAGATCCAACACTCCATTGCGATGCATGCATATGAATTTGAAGTGAAAACTTCACATTCGAATTAAAGATGTCAATGGAGAAATAAACGTAGAGGCACAATTGGGAGAACCCCAACGTGAATCTTTTCAATGCTGTGAGATATAAACTTTACCTTGAATTTGGATAGTCCTGGACAATAGTTAGCATCCATCTCCATCATCTGTGTGTGGAAACAGGCGCAAAGGTGTCAGCTATTCGATCGAATTCCTATGAGTGGATGGTATCTATAGGTGTGCATCTATACACGAAGCATGAGCATTTTCAAACTAACACATTGCCGATCGGACCAATGAGCACGATACAACGTAATGTAGAAGCACGTTCTACAGAATGCGCAAAGATATTTCATACTTGAACTAAAACACATATAATTCATGTACTTATATCGAGCACATCCCGTTCCCAAAATGAATAAGCTTCAATACACCAGATCCGTGTAAGCGAGATCGAGGTCGGACATATTAAAGAATAGAGACGATTACGTCAACATACCTAGTGTGAATAAGGTGAAGACAAAACCTATGTATTCAACACAGCAACAAATGATCGACACCCTACGGTCATGGTCTAGTTCAGGTATCACATAGGTGCTGAGAAACAAAGGTTATATTACACAGTGAACATTCGTACTCAAAACATCCCGAAACGTCGTTGCGTGTGGTTTTAAGCAAGCATTCAACAGGTGGCTAACAAATACAAAGGGCAAGTACGCTAAGTCGAGGCAGGTGTATGCGAATACCTTGTACTCCAGCATCAGTAGATTATATAGCTGTACAGACAGTAGTGTGCACGAACAGTCCCATGTGGATATTTATGTATCAAAGATAATGATGATTTTGCTTACACATCCCCATCGCCAATAAAGCGCTATAATATATACACTAAATTAGCCCCAATATATGAAGTAAATAGAACTTACACACGCACTAGCACCATCTCCCATACGCATTTAATGACACATGCATAAGGCACTTACTCTGGCAACAACCGCACACACCTTTCACCCAAAAACACCTACTACGCACCTCTAGAAAATACGTATCCCTTTCACACACATTCAGCCTTTTCACTCCACTAAAGCACGCAGACCACACAACAACTACAAAATACCAACCTCCACAAGCACCCACAAATTGTCCTCATTTTGTACACACACATACACACCTTGAACACCAAAACATCCCCTTTGCGTGGTTTTCCTTCTAATGCAGGCAGTTTGTCGTAGACGACTCTCGGCTTCTTATGCACACCACTCTCACCAGCATCAGCAGTGTTATCCCATACCCCACCCCTACTTGTTGCTGCTGTCGATACCGGTATTTCCGTAGTCACAACCGGGATCACCGTACCGCTCACCCCACCGATCGTCCCTTTGCTCGAACGCAATGACGAGTACTGCGTGTTTTCTTTGCTTGTATCACTGGACATGCTTCCCTCCAACCCAACCTCCTTCGTAGTTACAGCGACCTCCTTATTACTAGATACGCCCTGTGTTGCTGCCGTGAAGCGTGTGTGGGGCGCTTCATCAGACCCACGCATGTCTATATCGTGTTGTGTGTTCTGATTCGCTCCCGTCTCGTTGGATGTGTTAATCGCTGGTTGATCGCTTGCCAGAGTATCCTCTGTGGCTTCGGGTCGTGCCTTCTTGGTCTTGTGACTTCTCTTACTGCTGCGTTTCCGCTTCTTGGACTTCTTCTCCTGCGTCCCCTCGCTATTACACTCCGTCGCTTCTACACTACTCACTGCCACATCTACACCAGGCACTGCAGCAGTACTACACACACCCTTGCTCGCTTTATCTTTCTTCTCTGTATCAAACAGCTCAACAGAAGTACTCGTGGCTACCTCCAATTGTTTACTTTTTGGTATCGCATCATCCTTCATCTCACTACCAACCGCAGCACTCTCGCCAATACTCGCCGCTTCATCCCCGTCAACTGCTTTGCTGGCTTTCTTCGACTTCCTGCTTCGTCTTCGACTCTTCTTAGCACCTGCTGTAGGGTTGTCCCCAGCCGTTTCTGTACCAGCACTGGCCTCGTTGGTAGTCGCATCGGTATTCCCTCCTTCTGTGTCAATTGTACCCTCGCCTTCTGTATGGTTTATCGTACTACTGACCACATTCATAACCATATCAACCGCACTTACTCCCTGCTCTATACTTTGTTCAACAGGACTACGTACGTGTGGTGTAGTAGTTCCATTGGTAAGTGCCTTTGTTCCTTCTGCTAAGGGCATATCAGCGGTATGAGTGCTAGCCGTGTTTGACTTTGTCCTTTTGCGACCCCTTTTGCGTTTGCCCTTTAGCTTCTCCAACGCATCCGCTTGATCACCTCCAGCTAATAGTTCACTATCTACGGTGGTACTGTCATGTGTGTCTATGCTTTGTGAGCCACTTCCGCTCATTGCATGCCCAATACTCGCAACAGCCAATGAAGGGATGAGTGTAGAGAGTGCCAATTGAAGCCCAGGTGTACACTCTTTGTTCTGTGAGGTATTGTGTTGCGCTGAAATTCTCGGGCCTTTGATCGTATGGAGCGTTTGTGTGTGTGTGTCTGCTTCTGTATCTGCTGTGCCTAGTAGTTGTGTGTCTCGCTCGTGAGGTTGCCCCTGCAATTGCACGATATCAAACTGCACCAAATCACCGTCACGTAGTAACGTAGTCGGCTGATAAGGTGGCAGCAAGTAGCCATCCATCGACAAGGACACGCGTACGTTAATCACTGCATCTGTGCCTCGTCCCCCCTGATACAGTTGAGTTACATACTGCGATCGTGGTGTAGCGCTGCCGTTTTGGCTATCGCGTGTATTTATATTCTGAGGCTCGTGAGCTGATGTACTGTGTGCGATATGAGGAGAAACAACATCTGCATAGATAGACGCTGCAAGCGTGCTTATTGTGTTGTACAGCTGTGTATCGACTATGTGCCACTGTTTGATGTGTGTATTGTTTACTATCCCAAGTAAGCGCACACGCACATCCCGAGGTACAAGCTGGTCCATATTGGCTAGCTAATAGTTCTGAGATATCAAGCCGTGAGTGCGTATCGGGTAGAGATTTGAACTGTATAATCTCAGCTCTTGATTTCAGTATATATGTAGCTTCCTGTCTTATTGAAAAGGATTTACTTGTAGCAACTACCTCATTAACCATCCATGTTAATCGCACAAGTTAGCCTCAATTCAACCAACCCCGTGGAGACCCCAGCCCTCGCACCTACTTGACTTGTAAACGCTCGACGATATTGAAGCTAACTATATGCTATGTATATACATACTTAAGTATGTATATATGTATATGTGTATGCAAATAAATATACATTTGTGTTATATATATATACATCTATAATTACATAAATCATATTATTTACACATGCATCACTTTCGTGTCACTGACTTTCGAAGTATCGTGTTGGCGTGTTTGCCTTTGTGGGCCGTGCGGTCAGTATGAATTTAACGTATTTCTCATCAACTCCATAGGAATTTCTTGAAAAAATACATTCAAGCGTTTCCATTGGCTATCAAAAGCCCGCCAAACCCCTCAGACACCCTCTCGAAACTTAGTTCCTATTTTTTAAAGTATGTTAACGACTAAACGCTTTAAGTCTCAAAAGTCAGAGGTCGATAGCGTATTTTAAGACCTATATCGTATGTACATACATACATATATACTACATAACTATGTATGATACGACAATGAACGGTGCACAGTATATGCATACTAGATAGCTATGTTATAACAATAGACAATGTGTGTGTATGTTATGTATGGGAACTGATATGAGATGGCATACCATGTGTATGGTCATCTCTTACGTGTTCATAGATGGCATGGTACATTGACACGACCTCATGCGTAGTGCTTGTCGAAAGCAAACTAAAAATAAGCACACGTTAAGACTGTAGACTATTCTGATAGTCACTACATAACTATTCGTCTCGATCTGCAGATGTTATATAACCCACCATCGCAGTAAACAATACTATCGTCACCTATTACAGTTCTAAGTATTACGTACAAACGTGAGCATATGCAAGTATGAGCTATCCGTATGCCGACGACGAAAACGTGAACATCCCTGCGGCAGTTCCGGTGCCCAAAGTAGACGAATACGCTGATAAGTTCTTTATAGGTGGGTGTCTTCTGGCTACGCTAACAGTCTAAGCTAATACAAAACCGACCGATTGTGATGCCACTTATACTTAATGTTGACTACTCTATGTGTGCGCAGTCTGTTTGGTTGTCGTATATGCGCATGTGTACCGCCTGTCATCTGGTGAGATATACTCAAGTATGTAGTGTGTTTGTGTGTTGCGACATACTGGCATTCTACGGAATGGTATTGCAAGCTGGATCATAGCTTCGTAAAGTCAACAACCTTTTGTGGCTATAAACTAGTTCGCCAGTTGTGTTTTTTATTTCTATCTAGTTTTATTTTATTTCATACTCGTGGTGTGTATGCAAAAGAACGTCTCGCCTTACTGTACACTATCTATTCTTTGGATGCAAATCACACTTCTGTGTATATCTATCGGGGCATCGTGGATGGTAAGGCTAAAGCATGCTCGACACTCACCCCATTATGTATTGTGTAAGGTGATATACTACATATACATAAACATACATGTATACACACCCACACACACAATTTGTACTACAGGAAACGTTTATTGGCATCACCACTCACAGGCGTAGCTTAATCGCTGCTGATTACACTTGCCCATGTATCTTCTACCTCACTGTTCGATTTACAGATCTGTTTGCGCAAGTCCTTCGGAAGGAGTATAGCGATGCCATTGAATCGATTCTGCTGCACAGGGACGAATCTCGCAACTTCGCACTACAAGTCATGTATGTCGTCTAACTTTCATATCCATATGAACTGCTCAGAGAAACTTAAGTATGTATCATCATGTACACCAAATATGGAATGATTTCGCAAACAGTATACGAGACAAAGGACCTAATCTGCTACTCAATATATTAATGGACCGATAATGGACATTTAGTGCCCCGTTTTATAGTTTCCCAGTTTAGCTATGATCTGCCCGGTATGATACTACATCTGTATAAAACGCCAATATCCTAAAACTTTCTGATCACTACCTAGATTCTTGTGTGTGTAGTTGTAATATGTATGCTGTACATAATATTGTAGTTCTTCTGTTTATACCTGTGTGTGTAATTGTAGTATGCATGTGGTACATCATATTGTAGTTCTCCTGTTTGTGTGTGTTTTTTAAGTACTGATATTGTTTATTCGGATATAAGATCCATTCGTACTCCTGAAGGTCTCTGACTCGCACATGCATGTAGCGACACAAAGGAGTGTGGAAACGTTCGTATAGAAACATGTGTAGCTAAATATCTTGTCATGCACACAATTAGTTTCGTAAACATGCAGATTCACTTGTCGGTTAGCCAATATGTGTGGCTGTATTTGTAGGTAGATGCTCGTGTACGTATGAGATCAACAAATAAGCCAAAATACGGATATACTTATATATAAATACAGGTACACAGATACAAACCTACCCTCTATAGAAATCGACAAATACACAGATACAATCAATATGCAAGCAAAAATACAAACCCACCTTATATACAGATAACAGGTGCACAGATACAATCAATTTACAAGGCAGAATACAACCTTTTTCTATATACAAATATTAGGTACACGAATACAATCAATAAACAAGCCAAAATAAAGTTTTATCCTATTTACAAATAACAGGTACACCGATATTAGTGAAGAGAAGTTCATTCCCTACACAAAAAAAATCAATAAACAAGCCAGAATAAAGTTTTACTCTATATACAAATAACAGGTACACCGATATTAGTGAAGAGAAGTTCATTCTCTTCCGCATGCTGCCGCACTATCCATTGAAGCTGCTGCCCTTGTTCGACATAGCGGCTAAAGAGGTGGCCCTGGAGATCTACAACACACACCCCCTGAAAGAAAGCATGGTACGTTGCTATGTATGTGTGTGGACGTGCCTTTATTGCGTTGTGTACTTGGTCCATTCTAGACAGTTCGAAACTATGCTGATCACCAGTATCCGTTAGTTAGAATTGCTACGCTAATGTTGCTATGGCTGAGGCGATACACAGACCCAATCGCAAACAAGACCTTGACAGCGCATAAATGCAAAACCCACCGTTATTTGTTCGTGTGATGGTATACATACATATGCGATAGATCACATCCAACATGCATACGACGTACACATACGTATGTGATTGTATGAATCGTATGTATGTTGCACGTGATTTATCACATATGTACACATGATTATATACATCGTATGTATGTTAAACGTGATCTATCACATATATACATATGTGATTGTATCCATCGTATGTATGTTGCACGTGATTTATTACATATATACATATGTAATTATATACATCGTATGTATGTTAAACGTGACCTATCACATATATACATATTTAATTATATACATCGTATGTATGTTAAACGTGACCTATCACATATATACATATGTATTTATATACATCGTATGTATGTTAAACGTGATCTATCACATTTGTACATATGTGATTATATACATCGTATCTATTTTAAATGTGATTTATCACTTATATACATATGTATTTTTATACATCGTATGCATGTTAAACGTGACCTATCACATATATACATATGTAATTATATACATTGTATGTATGTTGGACGTGATCTATCACATATGCATGTACATTGAATTCATTTTCTGATCGAAAGCTTATTCTGGACAGCTCCAATTTTGTCCCGACTACTTCGACCCCAATTAGAATGGAGAGTAGTATTTGTTGATGGTATCTGTCTACGGGTGTTCTGGTGATAAAGTAACCTACGCCTGGTGCTACTAAAACCACAGCCTTGCAGCGATATAACTTCAGGAATCAACTTTATATATCTGTCCCGGCTACTGCGGCAAATTATACCACTCATGTTGCAGTAATCAAATTTGGCATGCGGCCAGACTCGATCTTAATTACGAGATTGCCTGTTCTTCTAATTTCTAAGCAACGCTGCTTGTTAGTGCGGCTACATGCAGTCCCTGTTGGTGTGTATGTGTGGGTCTAGTGGCTGCTACTGCCCATTAATTGTATGATACATGACCGGTCTTTGGCACCCCCTGTACCTACACTCTATACTTCCCAATGATATGGCAACCGCAACGGATCTCCCTTACCAGACTACGCACTTCGCATAGACATCTCCGTGAAAACCGGCTACCGATAGCACTTTAATATCAATTTGTTTACTTTGTCGTCCAACACATCTCACACAGATCATAAAAGAGCATATGCGAGTGCGCCTGAACGAAGTTCCTAAGTGTTACACCATCCAGCGACTGCCCAAGTCTGAAGACGCTGGTCTACTCGTGGTGCTCAGGGCTACTGTGGTCCGAGCGGGTAACTCTTTCACGTTTGTAATTTATGTACAATAGATATGTCTATATATATATATACATATATATATATTATG